TTCTCTCCATCCTCTTTGGAACTCGCCTTCAGGGAGTTGAAGGCTGCTACCAACTCCCCAAGGTCTAATAATAATTCATAACACCAACTACAAATGTTTTTTTTTTTTAAATAAAATCTGTTGGAGCACATTTTTAACTTCTATCCAAAATAACCTAGGATGAGGCCTATGGGCAATGGATATAGGGTCTGATCCAAAATCCTTTGAAGTTACTGGGCATCTTTCTACCAAAGTCAACAGTATTTGGAGCAGGTCCCTACAGGGCAGCATTTGTCCAAAGCTTCGTACTCCACATTTCCTCATCCTCAGATATGGAAGGTCACCAGTAGTGCACGAAGCAGGTGAAGTCCTTGAAGAGAAGAACCAGTGAGTGTCAAAGCTATTGGCAGGATTTGTGTGGCAGGGCACCTGTATGAAAGAACATGCAGTATTTCCAGCATGGGATACTCCATTCCTGATCTTTGGTTTAAATGCCCCACAGACTCCAAATACACAGCCAGTTATATTAGTGATGAATGTGCAACATTTTAACCAGTATAGGGGGTAGAGATGGTTTAATAATGGGGAGAAACTCACTCTGTATGGGTATGTCTACCCAGCAGTGTCATTTCGGAATAATGTCCAAAATAACATAGTGCATCTAGACTACAAGCCTTTATTTCAAAATAATGAGGAACTGGAGGACTTCTTACTCCAACTCTTATAACTCATTTCACGAGGAGTAAGGGAAGTCGAAGGAAGAGTGCTCTTCCTTTGACTTCCTGCTGTATGGACTGTACCAAAAGCCAAATTAAGCTATTTCGACTTCAGCTACACAATTGATGTAGATGAAGTTGCGTAGCTTAAATCGACTTTAGCCCTGCTGTGTAGACGTGCCCTATGAGAACTGTTCTTCAGAGAAGGGGCAATGGGTCAACATTTTGAATTTTAAAAAGTTTTCTAACTCGCTCAAAATCCCACTCGCTTGCCTTGTCCAATTCTTCCCATTGGTTTCACCATGTTGGTTCAGTCAGTTGTCTCATTAGAAGGAGCTACTTCTAGAAATTCTTTCACCATGTTGGTTCAGTAAATTGTCTCATTAGAAGGAGCTACTTCTAGACTAAGCCCCTCAACCTCGTAGGTAGACCAAGGGGATGTTGACCGTCATCTATGAGCTTTGCTGATTCAAAGTGAACCCTTTGGAGAAGAAGAATTTTTAAAATCTCATGTCCTGGCAGCCATTTATGTTATGTGTTGACTTTGTGCCTATTGCACGGTGGTCCTGGAATGGTTTGCACTTTGTTAGTCTATTTTACATGTTGGTTATATTAGAGTCTAGTGGTTAGAGCACTGGACTGGGATGCAGAAAGCCTGGCTTCTATGCCCAGCTTTGCAGTTTGACTTGGTGATCTTGGATCAGGTCATGTGCCTCAGTTTTCCTGTGTGTTAAAAGGAGATAATGACACTGACCTGCTTTGTAAAGCGCTGTGAGAGCTACTGGTAAAAGTGCTCTATAAGAGCTACATTCTATGTTGCTGTTACACAGAGAAGTTAGGGCCTGATCCAAACGGGTTTTGACATCAGTGGAAAGATACCTATGGCCATTGGATCAGGCCCTTAATACCAGCATGTTGAGTTTTCACAAACTAAGTTTTGTTCTCCAAGCTGGCTGGGGCAGCATTGATGTGCAAAATATGCTGCCCTTTGCAAACTCCATATGAATTCATTTTTATAGAATCCATAGGACAATACAGGAGGTAAATTAATAATAAGACCTGGATTCTTCAATACTAGCCACTCGGGCAGCACTTGTATCGCTCATTTTTCAGGAATGAGTTCTTAAGGGATTAAATCCTAAGAACTAAACAATTGAAATATACAGACAGCAGACTAATGCAAATATCTGTAGCAAAACAACTTGAACGGGTTTTCCCCCACTAATCACAGACAGAAGACTTGGACAGAAAAATAAGGCTGACCCGCCTACCCAATGTCTTTACTTAGGTATTTTTGTTGTTGTTGTTTGTTGTTTTTTGTTTTGTTTTCTGAAGCAAAAACTAGCCCATTTTTTACTTTCTCAAACATTTCTGGTATATTTTAATTAAAGGGGAAAAAGGTTGTGTGGAGAGAGATTTCATCAACATTTCACAAAAGGAAAAGAAAAAAAGGGGGAGGAAATTTGCAAAATTGTATACAAATAAATATTGATTTGTTACAGGAAAGGTGTGAGCTCTCTGTATGACTCAGGGCTCTTGGTTTAGGAGAATTTTTAATAAAATCACAACAGCACATTTCCTTCTGGTTTTTGAGCGCATGTGTTATTTTGAGGCCTGCCTCCAGCTTTCCTCCACATGGGCAGCGAGCGCGTGTGTTATTGTGAGGCCTGCCTCCTGCTTTCCTCCACATGGGCAGTTAACTCAGGGTACGGCTAGACTGCAGGGGTTTTTCGGGATACTGGAGGTATCCTGAAAAAACTCCACTGCATCCAGGGAACGCCTTTGCGCTTCCGCTTTTTTTGCAGAAGAGCAAACACGGTCTTTCAGAAGCCCCCTGTAGTCCTCGTTCTACAAGTAGGGTTGCCAGATACTTTCACAAAAAATAACAAACAGGGTGGGAAAAAAAATTGGTTGAGCAAAAAAAAAAAAAAAAAAAGACCACACAAAAAACCCTAGTCACTGCACCTTTACATACCCGCACTCCCTACTCCCCCTGCCCCCACCAGACGCAGCAGGGGAATGTCCCAAGTAGCCTTCTGTCCGAGAAAACCAGAAAATACTGGACATTTTACATGTCGGTATTTTCTGGGTTTTTTTACTGGACCGAGGCCACAAATACCAGACTGTCCGGCCAATACCGGACACCTGGCAGCACTTTCTATAAGGAATAAGAGGGCTTCCAAAAGAGGGTTTTTTCTGACATTTGGCCCAGTCTAGATGGGCCAAATTTTGGAAAAGCCTCTTCTGACAAAAAAATTGGAAAAAGGTATGCAAAATGTATAGCATTTGTGTACCTTTTTCCGACAAAAGCTTGCAGTCTAGCCGTACCCTCTGTGGGACATTTGTATTTATTTTTCAGTGAATCGAGTGCGGGTAAGAGTGCTCAGTTTAATGTCCATGGAGACAGAGGTTGTCTGTTTAGCCCACATAATGGTTACAGCATGGGCAGGAGCAGGTCCAGCGGCCCTGAAGGCACACCTCTGACTCGGAGAGACTAGTTCTAGAGGGGAATGAGCAAAATAGGCTTCTAGGCCCATTCAGGCCTGGGCACTTCTGCTGAATCTGCCTGTAAGGGACCCAACGAGGCAGCCCTGCCATGCATGAGGACACCTTGTGTCCAAGGCTGGCAATCAAACTGAAGCAAGCTTCCAAGGCTGCCTGCTCCAGAGTCTGAAACAGGTTTGGGCCAAGCCCTTGTGAGAGGAGGCACTTCCCGATGAGCCCTCAGTTCCGAGCACGCTGTGCAAGGGAACAGCTGTTGTGGGGGCAGCCAGTGGGAGCCGTCCCTGCCTTCGGGTGCACTGGCCTTGCTGGGATGGATGCTCAAGACAGGGGTGTTTCGTTGCATCCCCAAACTGATCCCCTTCACAATAGCCAGCTCTGTGCCGCATCCTGTGAGGAGCTGGGTGACTCCTGGGAGAGAGGCCTAGTTCTGTGCCTTCCAGACATCGCTTTGCACCTCACAGGACAGAGCACCGCCAGGGGCATCTTCCCCTCATAGTGGCTGGGCGGTTTGCCATTGAGCTCCATGTTGAATATGGAGCAGCAGCAATGGACTCTGGGGCAGAATCCCCTGGACTTTTCCTGACAGGAAAGACAGTGGCTGTGGCCCTAGGCCATAAGCCCAGCAGGTGGGGGAGCTCAAAAGCCAGGGAAAAACTGGAGGCTAAGAAAAGTACATTGAGGCTGGTCAATGACAAAAAAGTCTTATTTAGCCTTAATTCAAACACATGTATTTTGCTGCCCATTCTTGTGATTTTATTGTGTGCCTTGCTGTATTTGGGGTCTTCCTTGCAAGCTCCCTCCCCACCCCCCAGCAGTCACATGACTCCATTAACCTCTCAGCGTGGGTTTTTTGTTTTTATTTTTGGTTTTTGTTAAAGTAAGTTTGTTGCCTTCATGGCTGTGGAGGTTTTTTTGGGGTTTTGTTAAGGTAAGTTTGTTGCCTTCATGGCTGTGGAAAAAAGCTTGAAAACATGAACCATCAAAACTAAAAAAGAAAAGAAAAACCCAAAACCAAACCAGGCAAATAGAAAGAACCCGACATTATTATTATTATTTAAAAACCTCATTGTTTTTGGAACCTCACTCATGATCTTTGAAAGCTTCAGGCTGGCGATGCTGTGAGCAGGATCTTTTCACATGCCGATTAACAAACGGCATGTGTATTCGAATGCTGTACGCTACTGATCCTTTTATGCATTAAAGATAATAATGTGCAAAAAGGGTTACTCTGAAATTTTGACCGAGGGGAGAACTGTTTAAAAATTCAAAACTGAGGCATTCGTTTAGTATTTGTCACACTCCCCTCCCGCAAAATCTCATTCCATTTGCACTGACGTCAACTCTCAGCAAGGTTAGCTAGCATTTTAAGGGAGGTCCCAGAGTCTCCTCTGCCCTGATCCTGGTTTCTGCCCAGAACAGAGGCATTCTGGGGATGGTAGTTCCAGGGGCAAGTGAGATTTGTAGGCCCTGCAGCGAAGGATGCTGGGAAAGGGGGCAGGAATAGAAGGCAATGGTGAGAGACCTGGAGGGAGCAATGGATGGTTCATTCTACTGAGAAGCAAGACCTAGGAGAAAGCCAGTGCTGTAGGGACTGCAGAACAGACAGAAGCACCAGGTCTGGGGGGAGAACTTGGATGGAAGGGATTCCCATTCTAGTTGTTTGAAAGCAGTTGAGTGAGAAACTTGGATAAACCAAACAGAGTAAAAACTAGTCTGACTAGTTCTCTTGCCACTGAACCACATTCCCCTGGCTCACCTCCCCACGGACTACAAATGGAGTAGGAGGAGTAAACCACTCACCTCTGACAGTCACCAGCACCGAGCTGTAGGTCTGCCCCACCAGGTTGGAGGCGGTGCAGGTGTAGAGCCCGTTGTCGATCTGCTTGCAGAAAAGGATCTTCAGCACGAAGTTCTCCTGTTCGTCCTCGTACACAATGTGCCGGCGCCCCTCTGAGATCACCTCGCCGTCCTTCTTCCACACGATCTCCGGCTTGGGCTCTCCGGTCACATAGCAGCTCAGCTTGGCGTGCTTGCCCTCCGTGACGTTGAAGGTGCGTGTCAGCACCCCGAAGGTGGCGTGGCGGGCTGATTTGGCGGTGAGGCTGGCGGCCCTCTCGTAATCCAGAGAAAGACGGAGACCAATGCCAGACAGCCCCTCGGTCCCGGAGTACATTGGGGCCGCCGTGGGGTCAGCAGCTGCCCACCCGGGCGTGTCCATCTTCCTGATTTCCTCACGCCTCTTTTGCAAGTGAGACAGCAAAGAGGCAGTCTTGCCATAGCTTGTGTCTAGACCGCCACTGCTCGGACTGTAAGATCCAAGCGTGTCCACCACCAGCGTGGCAGTAGCACTGGCAGAGCCAACGGGGTTCTCCGCCCGACACATGTATGTCCCGCTGTCCCCCAACTGAGCACCCTGGATCTTGAGGGAATTTGACTCTCCGAGTGACTCAACGTGGAAGCGGTTGGCGTCAGAACCGCCCCCCACCTTTCTCCCATCTTTTGCCCAGTTCACAGAGAGGGGCGGGCTGCCCTGGATTTTACATTTGAACAGAACGTCCTCTCCCAGGGTCACTCTGATGGAAGAAGGTTTCTGGATGAAATAAGGGGCTGATTCCATCACTGTGGTCTCCTCCCCAACTTTGATACTGACCGCAGTGAAAGCTTCCCCGATGGTATTCTTGGCCCTGCAGATATATTGGCCACTGTCCTCTAAGCTTAGGTCATAAATTGTTAGCCGGTACAGATCGCCATCTTCCACCATTTTAAACCTTCCCCCCGACTGGATGGGAAGTTTATCCTTTTCCCAGCTTACCAGCGGGATGGGGTTCCCCACAATCTGGCAGCTCAGGGTGGCATCCTTCCCCACCGACACCATGAAGGCCTTTGGCCGAGTCAGGAACCTGGGGGCTCCACTGAAGAAACTGTAATCCATCTTGGTTGCCTAAGAAAACAGAAGGACCAAACGAAAGCTGATATACATGCGTGTGATTATAGTGATGCCAATAAACTTAATGTGGAAAGCAAAGGGATGAGCAATAGCAATCACATTACTGCATCTCCACCATCAATTTCATGATAGCAGTCAGCAAGTTTGAGGAACGTTACCGGTCTTTTATGGACATTTCCGTTTGGGTTCAGTAACACTTATGTAAAAAGGTGACTCCCACCACCACAAGAATCATGGGGTGACAGTCCAAAGGCCTGAGGTCAGACTAAGTGACTGTAATGGTCCTTTCTGGCCTACGCAAATCAAAGCAGCACCAATGGGTTATAATTTATGGACTGTTTGGTCGTACTAAGGAATGGTGGGAGTGGGACATCCAGGATACCTCTCCCCACATGCTCTTCTTCTCTTCACACCCACCTTCATCTCCCACCTTTTTCTCCTTCTCTCCTTTCATTGATCTCGCCCCTTCATCTCTTTTAATCCTCCTCATGCCCATCTCCTCCCCCTGCTTTACTCTTCATTTCATCTCTTTTCATCCTCCTCATGCCCATCTCCTCCCCCTGCTTTACTCTTCATCCCTTCTATGCTCCCACCCTCTCTTTCCATGTGTTGGGGGGAGGGATAGCTCAGTGGTGTGAGCATTGGCTTACTTAAACCCAGGGTTGTGAGTTCAATCCTTGTGGAGGCCGTTTGGGGCAAAAATTTGTCAGGGATGATACTTGGTCCTGCTGTGAAGGTAGGGGGACTGGACTCAATGACCTTTCAAGGTCCCTTCCAGCTCTAGGAGATAGGCAATCTCCATTAATTTCTGTGGGCAGCTGGCAGGATAGAACACCATGTCTACTACTAGCTCTGGCCTGAGGACATTCTACCCAGCAGGGGGCAGTGTTCAGAAGGACACCCTTACCAGCTGACTGTCTTATTGATGATACCCTCTTTAGTCCTCCGTGGCTATTTAAGGCAACCCATTTAACTCTGGATAATTCCTCACCCAGGCTAGGGAGCGAGTGACAGCTACTTGCACCTCCTGTAGAAAATGCAAAGTGACAGCTTGAGCATTTCCAAATGAGTGTCAGGCTGCTCAAAAAGCCTTGGCTGAAAGCTCTCGGAAAGATTTCTCATTTGCCTGCCTATTTTGCACTGCCTTAAATGTTTCCTGTGGGGTAGCTCCCTGTTGTTACAAGACAGAGCAGCAAAGAGAAACTCATTTAAGGCCTGCTTGGAACTAAAGGTCAGGACAATTCTGACGCTGTCTTGTCCCAGGCAAGTGAAAAGCAATTAGCAGCAGCACTAATCATTAAGGGAGTCTTCACACGCACACCGCTGCAGGACTGAAGAGCAATGTTCCAGATATTAACCCCATTTCCCAGTGAATTCCGCCCAGTGCATGTCCCCCTGGGAGTCTCCTCATGTTTCTATACTAGCCCTGGCATGGATTCTTGGCCATCTGTTTCTCTGCTCCTGAGATGGGATCTTTTTTCTTACGTGAGAAAGAGCTTCCTTCATCGATTTGGCTGGCATATATGTGGAAGGCTACAGAGCTCCCCAAAAGTTGGCAGGAGCAAAACTCCACTGAGTGCAGGATTGGGCCCTGGGGCTAGCATAAGTACATGCTTGCCAGCAGGGAATTCTTGGGAAGCCCTTCTGTCATGATTTAAAGCACTTGATTGCTCCAGGTCCCAACTCACTACGTTGCTATTATCGACTCAGTCTTGTCATGCCAAGTAACCCCTCCCTGTGGCGGATTCCAATGCCCAAAGCTCTGTTTGAAGCCGCTAATGAGTGATAACTGCCAGTCTTTTTATGTCCTTGATTTTTTACCTTCAGATTCCCACACAACACAGGTCGGTGACTGGCATGGTGGACTGTTCATCTCAATAACTCCTAAAGGAAACATTTGGCAGCCAGCAGGACAGAAATATCCCCTGTAATCCTCCAGTCGTTTGGCTTGCCTGCCTGCCACCAACCCACCCATCAACTCACCCAATGACAAAGGCTCTCAGGATTCCCCCTCCCCCACCCATTGGAAATCAGTGGGGCCGGGCCTAAAACCCTGCTTTAGTCTCTTGAGAGAATGATTCACCATTTGCACAGCTGCTTCCCCCCACCCCTTCTCTCCTCTGACTCATATTTCAAGGTTGACATCAGTTCCAAAATCAGCAAAACTTTGAGCCAGGAATCAGGACTCCTGGTTCTATTCCCAGCTCTGCCACTAGGCTGCTGCATGACCATGGGCAAGTCACTTTGTGCCTCAGTTTCCCCTTCCACCATTTGTCTGCCTTAGCTATTAGGATTGTAAACATATCATGCTCAAGAGTGTGCCCTTATGGCCAAGAAGGCTAGCGGCATATTGGGCTGCATTTGTAGGAGCATTGCCAGCAGATCTAGGGAAGTGATTATTTCCACTTATTCGGCGCTAGTAAGGCCACATCTGGAGTACTGCATCCAATCCCAGGCCCCCCATTATAGAAAGGATGTGGATGCATTGGAGAAAAGTCCAGCAGAGGGCAGCAAAAATTATTAGGGGCCTGGAGCATTTGACTTAGGAGGAGAGGCTGAGGGATTTAGGCTTGTTTAGTCTGCAGAAGAGAGGTGTGAGGGGGGATTTGAGAGCAGCCTTCAGCTACTTGAAGGGAGGTTCCAAAGAGGATGGAGAGAGGCTGTTCTCAGTGGTAACAGAGGATAGAACAAGGAGCAATAGTCTCAAGTTGCTGTGCGGGAGGTCTAGGTTGGATATTAGGAAAAACTCTTTCCATAGAAGATGGTGAAGCACTGGGATGGGTTCCCTAGGGAGGGGGTGGAATCTCCATCCCTAGAGGTTTTGAAGTCCTGGCATGAGAAAGCCCTGGCTGGGATGATTGAGTTGGGTTGGTCCTGCTCTGGGCAGGGGGCTGGACTCGATGACTCCTGAGGTCTCTTCCAGCCCTAGGACTCTATGAGGTATATTACCTCGCACCACTATACTACAAACAATGCTTTAAAACATGCATTCCTATGCGTTCCCTGGGGGGGCGTGAAGAAATTTCAGGGGGGGCACAAGGCGCCCAGCCCTCCCCCGTCAATCCTCCCCCCTAAGTTTTGCTGCTATTTTTGTTTTTTGGCCTCAGTCAGTTACTTTTTTTTCTTTTGGCTCAACGAGATTTGCTGCTATCGGGGGGTGGGCCATGAGGGTTTCTCAAAAATCAAAAAGGGGGCGTGATGCCGAAAAGTTTGGGAAGCATTGCTTTAAAATGATTCATCTCTATCTGCTTCCCCAGGGGGAGATCACAGCACCTGGTGCCCAGAAGCAATTAAACTTTGGGAAGGTGCTTAGAAATCATTGGATAACTGTAGATTCACAATTGCAGTCATTGTACTAATGCATTTACTATTATTATTGTTCAACGGGGAAACAATAAAGCTATCCTTGAGACTCTGGGCTACAAGCTATCCTTGTAACCAAACAATGTCATCTTCCTTTCACACACAAACTTTACAATGATAACACTATTCGTTAATGAGACATTATTTTCTTTTCCCTCCAGCAATGTGTCACTGTTCAAGCTCATTGAAAACCCTCCGTTTGACAGCACATGATGTTTTGACAAAATGGAAAAACTTTATGATGAACAAAATGTCCATTTTTGCTGAAAATGTTCAGGAGTTCATAAAAAAAATAATCTCAACCCACCAGATCAATTTTTTACCGGTTTTTGGCCACCAAAAACTGAAGGTTGCCCATTTTAAACCACAACACGTTCCTGTTTGCTCTCTGAATGCCAAAGTAGTAAATAAACATTTTTAAAGTAAAAATAAGTAAGTACATTCAGCTTTCTGGTTTTGAACAAAAAACAGTGAAGAAAATTTTCTATGAACTTGAAAATATTTTCACTGAAAATTTTCATGGAGGAAAATGCATTTTCTGACCAATCGTAAGTTCCCACTTCTTTCTGCTCCACAAAATATTGGACCAGCTCCTTTGTGCAGGACAGCCCCCTGCTGGCTGCAGTCAGAGTGTGAACCCGAAAACTGCTTTCACTGACACATTGTAGGTTTTATACTCACTTTCGAAACCTACTTACATTTCCCTCCTGAAGCAGGGAGAAATTCAGTGTGTTATGCCAAGAAATACTGCTTATCTAAAAGAAACATAAAGGACCATGTCTCCAAGGCCTGGTCTACACTAGATCAAGAAGGTTGGTTTAAGGTATACAACTCCAGCTAGGTAAAATGAACAGCTGGAGTTGGCTTCCCTTAAGCTGAGCCGAGTTGGCTTCCCTTACTCCTCACAATGGGAGGAGTACTAGATGCCTGCAGGAGCTGCCCTCAGTGTTCGATTTAGGGGGTCTATAGTAGACCTGCTAAATCAAATGCCAGAAGATTGACCTCCAGAGTGTTGATCTTCCAGTAAGTTTAGGCATGCCCAAAATGGCCTGCAGGTTGCAATTTTAGCTTTAGCACACTCCTATGGCTCTGATGAAATTCAACATGTTCTCCATCACCTTATTTTTCAATCATTAAAATACATTTATCATAAATATTTGTAAAACTACTGGGAAAATTACTGCAGTGATTAACACCTGTGTACATGCATGCGAGGGGCAATCCATAGCTCATTAAAGACCATGGGAATTTCCTTTGAAATCAGTGCACTTTGATCCAGGACCTTTGAAATCAATGTACCAGGGACTTGGAAAGGGGGTGTTTGCACAATACCAAGCACACTGGGGTTGTTGCCCAGATCTAGGGCTCCAAGGGTATGTCTACACTGCCACCCTAATTCGAACTAGGGTGGCTAATTTAGTCATTCGAACTTGCAAAGGAAGCCGGGATTTAAATATCCCGGGCTTCATTTGCATGTTCCTGGGCGCTGCCCAGTAGTTTCATAGAATCATAGGACTGAAAGGGACCTTGAGAGGTCATCGAGTCCAGCCCCCCACCCTCAAGGCAGGACCAAGCTCCGTCTACACCATCCCTGACAGATGTCTATCTAACCTGTTCTTAAATATCTCCAG